AGTAACAAAACTAAACAAAAAAAAAAAAAAAAAAAACAAATGGAGCATCCAGTAATGGGAGTTGCTTAAATCTTAGCATATGTGTTTATGTACAGTAAAAAACTACACTCTTCCTGGACCCATGAGACAAATCTGCAGGCATTTATAAGCAGTATTTTCTAAAATACATTGGCATGCAAAAAAGCAGAGTAGAGTGTCGCATAAAATGATTTGAAAAAATGAACATGTATGTCTTTCATTTGTGTGTGTGTGTGTGTGTGTGTGTGTGTGTGTGTGTGTGTACAAATACATCCAGTAAGCTGTTAGCTGTGATTGTTTCCTGGGGTCAAGACTGAATCTGCCATTTCAAGTAGCTCTTTCTTGATGCCTATGTTTATATAAAGGATTGTAGGCAGTGGCTAACATTGTTATTGATCCAACTTTGGAATGGATACTCCCTGGTTCCCTCTCAAGATTTTGGATCAAGATCTACTGAATCGTGGGGGCACTTGCTAGAGTGCCTCCCTCCCTGCTGTGCAACCCTGGCCCACACACCTGAGGTTCTGTTCCAGTTCGTCTGCATGGCACCGAAGCTTATGTGGCCAAAACAAATTCCCTAGGAGTCCGAGGGGCTCTGCAGATAGCGATCATGCAGCATGGTAAGGACAGAAAGACTAAACTAACAATCTTCACCCTCCTTTGCTTAGTTAGCTCTGTCAGCCAGAGCTCCACCAGGAAAAAAGCAACTGAGGATTTCAAACAACATCACTCTCAGGGCTTGTGATCTGGGAGTAGAAGAGTGCAAAGTCAAGTGAGGATAATTACACCACCCAGAGATTAATTCTACCTGGAAGCCACTGTCGTCTTTCCCCAGGGAAGGGAGTGAAGAGGAAAAATAAAGAGAAAAGGGATGATTTTAGAGACAGGGACCAGAGTTGCCTGGTGGAAGCTGAGGCCAGAGCGGGCCAAACCTGCAGGATCCGGGGTTATAGAAGAGATTTGGTGGCCATGGCCACCAAAATGGAACAGTCTGAGTTCTGCCTTCCGCCCTAGCCAGCCCTATCAAAAAGCTAAGAAACCTAGAAGACAAAGACAAGGATGGGCTGCCTTGTCATGGAGAACAGACCAGGCGGCCACAGAGTCTGGACCAGCCCACCCAGCTAGGTTCAGTTTATGATTGAATATTCAGGTCACAATTTTCCATACTACTTTTTGAGTGGAGAGGTTGGTGATACAAATACTTTTGAGAATGGAAAGCCCTGAATTAACCATTACTGTTAACCTCTGTCTAGAAAAATAAGGGTGATTTAAACTTACCAGGTACCATAACGTGTAAGTGGCATCTATAATGTTTTTATAGGATGATCATACCACACTCTCGTCTGTATGTTTACTAAGAAGGGAAACATGGAATAGTCAAAGGCTCACCTTGTTAGTTATCTCCCAAAGGAGCCTTGATTCCATTTATCCATTCATTCACCCCCCCCACCCCTTTCTACATACCAGGAAAGGTAATAGATGCTGATATGCAGGAAAACATAAAACTTCTTGCCCCGAGGACTATAATTTTTGTGAACTATGAGTGTTTGCTCTAGAAAACAACGTGTTCAAATGTTTACCAACAGGAAAAAAAATTTTGTTCACTTGAAATTATAAACTGTTTCGTTAAAAGAATACTGCTCCCAAAACTTATGGTAAGTAACTCAACCACTGTACCCTCATTATTTTTATAATGGTTAACAGTGCCAGAGAGGCTGTGTTCTCAGTATACAGTCTCTGCAATTTAAGAAAATATTTGGAGGTCTCCTGCCAGAAATTATTTAAGCAAGGAAATAGTTCAAATAGATTGAGGTGCTGGCTTAAATACAAAGAAAGCAATGTGATGGGTGGGTGCTTTACATTAGAGATAGGACAGGTCTCCTGGGCAACTGCCATTGACTAAGATGCCGGACTACCCTGCCCCATGCAGGACCTTCCCTGGGTAAGGAAGCACTGACTTTGAGCAGTGAATCTGGCCTGAGTGACACAGCGGAGAGGGACTGGCGGATAATAGCCAGTTCCATCCACCAGGGCCTGTCTCCGGGCTCCTGGGGCTAGGACTGTCCTCACCTCATCCCCATGTGGCTGCCGCTCCCTTTCCAGTACTTCACGCTCTCTGAGGCCTTTCCCACTGGTCCAGCACATTCTGTTCTACTGCCTTTGAACATCTTATCACCATCTGGAAACTGCATTGCTGATATGATTGCAATCATAGGACGGATCTAAGGCTCCGAGAAGAAAATACCAGTCAGGGGATTTAGTCCTTCTATGAACATCACAGAGGGCATTCACAAAAATGTAGGTGGTAGGGCTGGGGGTGTAGCTCAGCAACACACTGCCTGCCTGGCAAGTACAAGGTCCTGGGTTCAATTCCCAGTACCAAAAAAAAAAAAATGTAGTGGTAGAGGTCAACCACCAGACTCAGCACATAGCTTTGCAGTAAACTTCCTTAGTAAGTATACATATACTCTAAAATAACAGCATAAAAAGTCATTATCAAGTAGTATTCACCACACTTAATTGCATGTGCTGTACTTTTATATGAGTGGCAGGGCAGTCACTCTGTCATGCATGCACTGTTATCATTATAAGTACTTCTGGGTCGGTAGCCAGACTTGCTCAGCCCCATCCTAAACTTATGGGTCTACTCATGTATGTAGGGTCTGCTACTGACCAGAACAGCACCAGGCAGGTTTTATTGACCACCTTCTTGCCTCTAGAGGGCAGCCAGCACTGTACTTGGGAGCCTGACACAGTGCAAAAGCTTATGAACACATAATGGCTAGAGCAGTAAACAATCACCTAAAGAAAGCAACAGAGAAAGTTCCATTAGTGATCAGCCACATGTGGGAGAGGGCATATGGAGGGCCAGCTATGCAGGAGAAAATAGAATTGACCAAGACCAGAATAAGAAAAGGGTTTATTCCCAGCAGAGCACACGTCAAGAGGGACCACAGGTAAGTTTCTGGGAGGACTCACACTATCAGGGCAATTGTGTTTCTGTAGTACTAGAGTTTGCCCTGAACGACATCCCCAATTCTTTCTAAAATCCTTTGAAATATTTAGACCGGATCTCACTTAGTAACAAGTTTATCCAGCTGCCTCAGCTTCCCAGATGCTGGGATTGCATGTGTGTGCCTTCACACCCAGCTGCGACTGGAGGGGTTTTCTTTTGTTTTGTTTTCTTCTTTTTTTATAAGAGATTCAGATGTGGCAAAGGGTCTCAGCTAGCAACTGCAGATATCTCAGAAGCATGTTCCGGGCCATCTTTTTCTTTCTAATCTTTCAGGAGCACCTGCTTTGCATCTAAAGTTGTACATCAAAGTTGCAAATTGACAAAGTCCTTATACTTGGGCCTCCCAGAAGGCCCCTTCTCGGGCTGCCTGAAAGTTATTTTTATCCTGTGTTGGTTTGGGTCAGCATCAGCATATTATGCCTACTTAGAACCCCCTGGAGAAAACTGATCTAAACAGGAGATTTTTTTTTTCCCGCGTTTTAACCCTTTTGTTGCCAACGAACAACTGCAGTATTTACTGAGATCCTGCTATGTGTCAGCCTCCGGGCCAGGTCACTGAGGACAATCAGTGAAGGAAAGACAGGTTGGGTGAGTGGGTGGTTTATGAATCCTCTTTCATGGGGTTCAACTGAAGGGAAAGGAAGAAGAAAACAAAATACAAGCGAATTGTATCTGTCTAGACAGACAGCTACCCATATACATAAACAGAGGCACCGACAGCACAGTGGAATTTATAAGTTCTAAGCAGAAAGGAAGAGTAGACGGGGGACTGCAGTATCACCACCCGCCGGCCGGGGGTGGCCTCCCCGGGATTGTGGATTTCATTCAACAGATACGTGGGTCAGGGCGGCGGCAAGTGGACACAGGCGGAGGAAGCAGAGGCGCAGGTCCCAGGCTGGAGGAAGGTTAGGGATGGGCGGGAAACCCGGAGCCTGGGGAGAGCACAGAGAGGGCTCCGGCCGGGCGATGGTGCACCCCGAACCACCTGGGAATTTAGAAACGCCCGTTTTCCGGCCCCTCTGCGCCCTCCTGAATCAGGGCGGGGTGGGCCCAGGCGCTGCGTCCCGAGAAGCCCTCCAGGCGCCCGCGATGCGCAGTGAAGCTGGGCGCACCCTGGAGCGGGGACCCTTCGCGCTCTCCCCGCCGACCTCCCCGGCGCCCGGGGCAGGCAGGTGCAAAGGCGCCCCCACCGGTGAGGCTGCTCGCGGCCGCCCAGCAGGGGTGTGGGGGCCCGGGGACGCTCCCCTCCGCCCACAGTCGCTGGGGGGCGCGCGGCCACCGGGCCTGGGGGCTCGGCGGGGCGGGGACCGCGCGGCCCGGGCTCGGGATTCGCCGCCGCTCCCCGGCCGCGCCGATGCAAAGCCGGGTTGGGGCGCCGGCCGGCCAGCGCCCTCTAGGCAGCGGAAGTGGAGCTTGCGGTACATCCGTCCTCCCCGCCTCGCAGAGTTGGAGAAGGCAGGCTGGGGGGGTGTGGAAAACCCAAGGCAAAGTCCCGGCACCATGTAGGGCCGCGCCCCCCGCCCTGGCACCGCGGCCGGCCGGCCGGGGACCCCCAGGCTGCGGCTATGAACGCGAGCGGCGAGGCCGAGAGCTTCCCGGGGCCCGTGCAAAGTAAGTGCTGTTCCGGGCGCGGTGCGCGCTCCGGGGCCCGGGCCCAAGCACGCCCGCGACGCAGCCAGCAGGCCCGGGGCCCCGAAATCGGGGTGACGGCGCGAGCCGCGCCGCGGGGACCCGGCGGGCGGGGGGCGCCGGGCCGGGCAGGGCAGGTGGGGCGCGCCCCGGACGGCGCCAGGCGGGGACGGTAGCCGGCCCCGGGCACCCCCGGGCACCCCGGGCTGGCACGGTGGGGGAGGGGCCGGACCACCGGCACCCCTGGGAGCATTCCCGCCCCGCCGGGCGGAGTCTGGGACGCGGGAGGGAGGGAACGTGTCGTGAGTCGGGGCGACCCGGAGGGGAAAACTTCTACCTCGGTGGTGCAGGTGGGGAGCCCGAGGACTGGAGGACCTCGCCGGCGCGTTGCAGAACCTGTTCAACCTTAGAGGCGGGCTCTGCGTGCGCTGCGGGGTCGTGGCCGCGTTCTTTGAGTTCAGGGTTTAATTTTTCTGGTGAGGACACCACCCTCTTCTTTCAAGTCTCTTGTTTCACCCCCCAACACACACATGCACACTGGAGCATCGTGTCTCAATGTGTGGTCTGGGGACCGGGCGCGCACAGGCCACCTGGCAGTGTAAACGTGAATGAAAAAAAGAAGGAAAAACCAAAATAGCTTAGGAGGGCCCCGCCCAGCAGACCTCAGGGGCGGGGCGGGACGGGGCGACGCTGAAGTGCCTAAGTGTAGGAAGACCCCCCACCCCGCGCACTTAATAAGGGCTCAACTTGGCATTTGTTACTCTTGGCCCCGCTGGAGACCCGAGCCCCTAGTATGGCTGTGATTCCCCGCATACCGCATGAAAAACACAGAATTCCCCAAACCCCAGCCCCTCCACCCCGTTAGGACCCCGCATGTCCTCGGTGGGTGCAGTCCTGTCCCTGTGGAAAAAGAGTAATAACCCCACCCGGAAAGGCGATTGGGAAAGGAGGTGGGCGGGGCAGTGCCGGCCTTTTACAAGCAGCATCTCATTTAATTCTCACCCCCAGGATTTAGAAATCACTTCTCATTTTGCAATAAGAAAAATCCCAAGCCCAAAGTCATCCTGGGTGACAGTGTGAGGGTCCCAAGGAAGGGGCAGGTCATGACCTGGGCGTGTTCCACTCACTACTAGCAACATTATTTGGCATTAAAACCCCCTCATCCGGCGTATGGGGCCTTTGCATAAGTAAGGAATCCCCAGCAATGCCCTCACTTCCTTTCTCCCGTCCTGGTTTTCCTGTTACCCTCAGGGTAACTCCAGAGCTACAGGAGGCTGAGAGTCACAACCGGAAAGTGACTTCCTTCTATCCACCCATCTCCAAGCACTTAGGGCACAGGTCCCTCTTCAGAGGGACACAAAATTTCACCATGCTCAGTCCAAGGCCTCTTCATATGCCTCACAGAACCCTCTTGTCCTACAGCTGGGGAAAACTGGTCATGATACAAGTTTTCAGAAAATTGTGTGTATATGCAATTTTTAAGTATGATAAAAATATTTTCTAATGTCTATATGGAAAGACTGTAAGTATTTTGTTCTCCTGTTCATGTTTCTCCCAAGGTTTTTTTTTTTTTATAAACATGAGCTTTCTTATAATAATGCAAAAAATAGATAAAAATTAGGATCCTTATATTAAAGACATTGATTCTGTTACCTTAGTTAACTAACGTTTTTGAAGTACTTTCTAATACAGTACCAGAAACTGTGCTGAATACTTTGCAAATATTTACTCTTGGCATATTACTACAGAGAAATGATATCCCTGTCCACTAGGAATGAATTTTAGCTATAAATAACAGAAACCTGAACTGTGGTGGCCTAATAAGAAGTCTGGAATTGGTTGATACGAAGGGAGAACAAAGGATCAAGGAAAACAAATCCAGATGAGTAGAAATGGTAGTATTTTCCTCAGTTACAAAGTGGCTGCAGAAGCCTTCACATCATACCTACATTGAAAGCCAAAAGAAGGGGGAGCATGTCAGTTCCTTCTGCCCCCTTTTCATCATGAATTCCGAACTTCTTCCTAAAACCCTTTCCAGCAGCATACCGGAGGGGTTCACAGGTGTGTCAGTGGCCGAAATTATCTGGACTAGTGGTTCTCATGTGATGGTGAGGTATTTGGAAAGATAAAGAATTGGCTTTCATAATGACTTTCCAGGTGAGGCAGGAGAGGCTACCGGTCCATCCTGCAAATTGCACGGCAGCCCTGCACCTCCAAAACTGTCTTGCAAAAAATATCCACTGGCCACCACTTGGATCTGAGCACACTGCAGGTAGCACAGAATCAGGTTTCTGTGCAGGACAAAGAAGAGGGAGGAGAGAAGTGTGCAGGGCGACACCCAGCCTTGTCCCACGTTATTCCCGGTTTGCTTGGTCTCTGAGAGCTGCTAGGAGCTAACGTGTATCTTTCCCTTTGTCCCCTGGAGTTGCAGGCAGCACAACAGTGCTGGTGGAACTGACTCCCGACATCCACATCTGCGGCATCTGCAAGCAGCAGTTTAACAACCTGGACACCTTTGTAGCCCACAAGCAGAGCGGCTGCCAGCTGACCAGCACTTCCGGGACGGCCCCCAGCACGGTCCAGTTTGTATCCGAGGAGACAGTGCCGGCCACCCAGACTCAGACCACTCCCAGAACCATCACGTCTGAGACCCAAACGATCACAGGTACCAGCGGGGCGCTCGGGGTGGGAGGTGGCCTGGCTGTGGCCCAGACCACTCCGTGGAGCTTGTTAAAATACCTTCCCAGGGCCCGTGCTGATCCATTATTTTTAACAAGCTCCGCTGGGAAGCCGACTGCCCAACCAGGCCTGGGAGTTGCTGGGTCCCTGCAGAGTTAGCAGTTCAAAGTGTTGTCGTGTTGGGAAGCAAGACAGATACGAACCAGATTTCCAGTGCAAAACTCTGCCTGCTAAGAAAGAAGACTGGCAAGAGAACGAGGCGATAAAACCAGAGGCTGTGTGGGGTGGCGGGGACATGCGTGAGCCCGAGTTTACATTACTTGTGTGAATGAATGAAAGCCAGGGTGGTTTTTTACAAAAATCTACCAATAGACACTGAAGATGGCCTTCCCTTTGCTGTTAAGCAAGAACACAGGAAAGCCAGTCACATCTCTCTTCCCTGTCGTGCACACTCAACCCGTCAAGACTGAAAGATCAGAAATGTAAATACACAGGATGAGGCCATGGAAGTTCTAGATTAAATGCACACAGACATACACAGATACACACACACGTAGATACACACCTATTCCCACACTTATTCATACCCACGCGATCTGGCCAAAGGGACCAGACAGAGAACCCGTTGGTGAGATACTGTCCTGTGTGAGACAGAATGAAAACAACACTGTGTATCATAGAGAAATGGAGAAATGCATTCCTTACTTAAAGGCATTCGAATTTAAATTTGAAAATATATTGATGTGCCTACTACCAAAGAAAGCAGACTCCCCCCAAGGAAAAGAATCATAAATATGATCCCAGAGAGGCTTATGTTTTTTCCAAAGTGAAAAACAAGATTGGAGATATAGGTCAGCAGGATAAGCCTGGCAATTGCAAGGTCCTGAGTTCAAATCCTGATTCCTGGGAGGGGAAAAGTAATAAATCCAAAGTATGAAACAAAGAGTTGAAAGAGAAACCAGAGGAGGAATTGCCGCAGCTCCAAGACCTCGCCTCCTTGGTATACTGTACAAAGGACTCCTAAAACCAGTAAAAGCGGAAAAAAAGAACAAAGCAAATAAATTCTTAAGGGTAACAAACAATATCCAAGAGCCGCGGCGCAGGAAAGGGCACACCATCGCCTTGGAAATCGAAGAACTGCAAATTAAAATAAGGAGAAATGCTGCCTTCACTCTCTGGGACGTAAATTTGGATAACCAGGCCAGTTAGTGGGATCTCTCACATTTTAAATTCCTGTTTTCATATGTATCTAAACACTTTTGCTTGCTAATCCTCCATCCGGGTTCTTATGCTATGAACCTTCTCAAACCTGAAAGAGTGTCCTTTGCTGTGTAAAGAGCAAGCGAGAACCTCCCCACCTTTGCCCCGATGGTGCCGCCTTAGCCTGCAGACCTTGAGGTTCAACACAGTCCGTGTCCACCGGATCGGACTGCACAGGATGCTGCCTCTCTCTCTCCGAGTGCCTTTCGGTTTTCTGAAAGAGCTCCTTACCTTTTGGCCTCCGGGCCCTGGCAGGTGCTGTTCCTCCTGCCCAGGAGTACCTGGGCTCTCTGTAAGGGTGGGCTGTTTCCTCAGAGTCCATCAGTGACACCACACACACTCAGAGGGACACGTCACCTGCCCAGCTTAAGCTGTTACTGGAGATGCAGAGTCGAGGTCTGTCCCCATCGCTAGCTGATGGGCACCACAAGGTCAGGCTGAAGCCCTCTTGTTGGCTCATCTGTGCCTCGAAGGGCCCGGGCACGAGGCCCAGCCCACCTGTGGAGTGTGAACAGCCACTCAGTGCCCTGGGGAAGCCACTTCCCCTTCCACCCCTCAGGTCCGTTGCTCACACCCACTCATTATTCCACTGCCCTGACCGGTCTTGAGGTGCCCAAGTTCTGCAGCAGGCCTGGCCAGTGGGATGGGCCTGAGGTCAGTCCTGTCTGTGCCCAGCTAGGGAGGGAGACATGAGCTCCAGAGCCAGGCTGCTGGACTCCCATCCCATCCACTGAGTGGCCGCAGCCTGCAGGCAGGTTTCTTTCCTCTCACTGAACAGCCCTGCGTCCTAGGACTGCGTGGTGATCCACGTGGCCACCAGATGGAGTCCCTGGGCCCCACCATCAGTCATGCTTTCTAAGGCGGAGCCTGACAAGCGGTGGTGAAGGGGTGATGCACCTTGCCCGAGTTTTGTAGCTGCCTGACTCAGCTACCTGAAGCTATGCCAGGCAAACGAGCAGAATCCTGCGCTCCTTCCCCTTTCCACTTGGGTGATTTTCAGAACCCAGCTTCCCCTCAACTTTGGGCCTCACTGTTCATCTGTTTCGAGACCTGCATGTGGGCCAGCACCCCTAGGAGCTCGTTACAGATACCAGTGTCTGGGCTGCACCGGCACAATCAGGGTGCAGCTCAGGAATCTGTGTTTTTAACAGACTGCGGGGATGGGAAGTGGATCCAGGTCCACTGCCTGCGGCCACTCTGACTTTTCCAGATCCCCTCATCCAGGCATTTCCTAAGCTGGCTTGTCCTTGGTTCAGTCCAACCCTTCCTCTCTCACCTCCTGCGTCTCCCCTCTGCCCAGTACAGTGGAGCAGGAGGTAACATTTATTCTCTGCCCTCTAGCTTTGAAAGCTGCCTATTGTTTGGCCTGTGCTTTCGGAACTTTCCCATAAGAGGAGTAAAATTAGATGATGATGCCACTGAAAACAATTAGAGCCCTCATGCATTTGCAAAATTCATGGGTCCCTGGGGGTTTTTTTGTTTGTTTGTTTTTGTTTTTGTTTGCCTTTGGACTGGATTTTTCACAGTACTGGGGTTGAAATCCAGGGCCTAGTCGTGGTAGGCGAGTGTTACACCATAGAGCTACACCCTGACCCCGTCTCTGTGTTCAAATCTTGGCTGATCCTTAGGAGCCATATGATGTTGCCAAATTGTAAGAGCCCCCT